AAAGTGGATTAACTATAGTAACCAACAATAACAGAAAAGAACACAGAAAAATACATAACAATGATAAAACCTGGTCTGTCAATAACCGATATGCATGAACTAAATGCACCAATTGGGAAAATCTGCTGTCAGGGATCTTTCTAAGAATGCTGAGAAGCAACGATGTTAATCTAGAGATTAAGGTGTGTCTAATGCAGGCCATAGTCTTCAAAATTACTTATTATGCTTCAGAGAGCTGGACAATGACTAAGGATGACAGAAGAAGAATCAATGCCTTCTAGTTGTGGTCTTGGAAAAGAGTCTTAAGCATACAATGGACTGCCAAGAAAACAGATATGTCTGTCTTAGAAAGTGAAACTAAAGCTCTCCTTGGAGGCAGTGATTTGGAAGCTCAATCTCACTTACTTTGGGCATGTGGCCAGGAAAGACCAGTCCTTGGAGAAGGATATTATTCTCAGAATGGTGAAGGGCAGCACAGGAGAGAAATACACAAGATGAGATTGACTGATTGATACAATAACTGGGGAATACTTTGCAGCTCGCAGGAACAATAACTTTGTAAATTATTACCTAACTTGGGAAGGCCTAGGAAGCATTATGTTGAGTGAAATAACTCGGTCCCATAAGAATAAATATTGTATAAAACCATTATTGTATAGTGAGTATAAGGATCCAGGAAGGTGGGAGAGGCTGGAAGCAGAGGGATGTTGATGTGCAGGGGGAAGGAGGGATTAATCATTGGGTTGTACAATTTGATGGGTGGGGATGTGAGGGAATTTGAAAAAAATTTGCTCAAAAATGTCTTTGAATTTTATAAATAAACTAGTAGAAAAACAATTTTAAAAAGAGTTAATAAAAGAAATGATGATATGTGGTAGTTGTGGGAAGTAGTAAGAAACAATCTAGACTTCTTTTCCTGTTGAAAGTCCATTTTAGCACTACAATTTCCTGCCCTGATGTCGATTGCCGCTGCATGGCCTAAGATTTAAGGCTGAGCACAATTTTCCACTTGCTTTGTGTTCACCATGACCACAGGCATTGGTTGAATAGATGACTGTTTTATCAGCCTGGATTCAAGAGAGAGAATGACTTGGAACAAAGTCCCCAGAGGCTCCCTCAAAGTGCTTTCAGCAAGAACTAAAATGTTGTTGTTTTAAGGCACTTAGCTAGTGGGGCTGTTTGTTACTGCATCATAAACTTGCCTAAACTCTTGGGGGAAACACAGTGATGTGTGATTATTGTGACAAAGTGAGAATGCAGACAAAAGCCTGTAGATGTTATCAGAGACGCAAGAAATCAATGGAGGCTGGATTGTTTGGTGAACATACTTTGAAGGGGATAACATTAAAATTTGGATTGTACATAAGAAAAGATGCTGTGAATGGGAATTGTATTCAGAGTAGTTTAGGGGTTTTATTTGTTTGCTTTAACGAGTAAAATGTGTTCCTGTGAATAAGGGTGTATGTCTTTATATGTATGAGGGGAGACCCTCAGCTAGATAAGATTGCTACAGTGACTGCAGCAATAGGCTCAAGGGTATCAGAGGTTGTGAGGATGGCGCAGGATAGGACAGGGTTCAGAACTGTTGTCTATAGAGTCACTGAATATTTAACTCAATGGAGCCAGCATCTTTAGATCAGTGTCTCAATCACTGGAAACAAAAATCCTGCCAAACTTAATGATATCAAGTGAATTCTACTCTTAATGACTCTAGGGAGGATTGCCCCATAGTTCTTAAAACTTATCTCTCTCTCTCTGTTTGTTTGTTTGTTTGCTTGTTTTTGTGGGTTTTTGTGTTTTGTTTTGTTTTTGTCTTTGTTTTGTTTTGTTTTTTTTGGAATCAGAATGTCACCTATTTTTCCCATAGAAAACTGGTAAGCTGAAACCGCTGACTTTTAGATTAGCAGACAAACTCTTTAATCACTGTTGTTGTTATGTTGTTATGTGCCGTCGAGTCGCCTGCAACTCATAGCGACCCTATGTACAATGGCCCTAAACTCCGCTCTGTCCTGTGCCAATCGCACTGTCTCTGACACTCCCATCCCAATTATCCCAGTCACTGAATCAATCCACCTCATAGAGGGCCTTCCTCTCCTGCGCCATCCCTCCACCCTCCCAAGCATGATGTCCCTCTCTAACGACCGGTCTCTCCTCACAACATGTCCAAAGTAAGTTAGACGGAGCCTCAGAATCCTTGCCTCCAAGGAACCACCCGGTTTAACCCTTTCCAGGACAAATCTGTTTGTTTTCCTAGCAGTCCATGGTATTCTCAATACTCTTCTCCAGCACCACAGCTCAAAGGCATCAATTCTCCTTCTATCCTCCTTGGTCATTGTCCAACTCTCTGATGCATAACAGGTGATTGTGAAGACCATGGCCTGTATCAGACGCACCTTAGTTTCCAGAGAGGCACCACTGCTCTTCAGCACTTTGGAGAGGTCCCTAACAGCAGACTTTCCTATGGCAATGCGCTTTTTAATTTCTACATTAGAAAATATTGACTTAATTAATCCTGAGGTCTTTTTTTGTTCTCTATCCTCAGCATTAATCAATAGAATATTTTACACAAAAAATACTTCCCTGTATGTGAGGCAAGTTCTAGATACTGACAATGATTGGTGAACATTATGTAGTTCCCACTTGATTTTAATTTTGTAAAACTTTGTAAAATTTTACAAGTGAAGGCTTTTACAGGTGTTAAAAACACACACTAATAAGTATTTAAATACAAATTTTGAGAAAATCTGATCAGGAAAATGACCAGTGACTCAGTTCAGACTGATGATGGTCGTTTG